ATATATATATATATATATATGTTATTCGCTACGTATTTTCAAGGTTGTTAGTCTTTTATTCTAGTTTTTTGTCTTAATTGTCTACTTCTTTACGTTTTTCTTTTTTTTCCTTTTTTCCCCTTTTTTTTTTATTCTTCTTTGCTTTCGGTTTTTTCTGTATTTGTGTGTCTGTTGTGTTTTTGCGCCCCGCAGTGCCCCTCTCTCGTTCTTTCTGTTGGTGGTGCGCAGTTCCCCACAGCCGCCCACTATGTCTCTGTGGGTGCTTCACTATTTACACGTCATGGGCGACATGTGTGTTGAGTTTATTTCTTCACCTCGGCGCCTCCAGGCGGGGCAGCCCTAAGGCACTACAAGTAGACACCATAAAGGAGACAATATAAATACAAAACGTTACTATTGTTTTTATTATTATTATTATTATTATTATTATTCTTATCATTGTTACTGTTACTGTACGTTGTTGCGTTTGTATTTTTGTTTTGTTTTTTTGTATTTGGTCTTCCTCAGGACTGTCAGAGACTGGCACTTGAACAGGATCAAGAAAAGAAGCTTGTTCCCTTGAGGAAAACCGGCACGGTGTGCTCCTTCTCGTCTGTATGAATATTGCTGCCATCTGTTTTGGCTGCCACGCGCTGGTCCACATGCATTTATCGATTTCTGCTCTGTGTCTAACGCTGCAGCTGCTCCAAGTACCCAACGTAGTGCAACAGACTCATATAAAACACACACATACGAATAGGTTTGCATTGCTGCTGGATGGGGATAGAGTTTTTTCTTTTGGTAAATAAACAAGGCCAGACACGGCTGGCCCAGTACTCCTCCTTCTTGTCTATTGCTGAGCGTACCGCTCTTGAGGGTGAAGTTGTGCGCAAATGTCTGCAACGGCGAGATGTGGATTGCAGTTTTGTTGAGCATATGCATTATAAGCTCATCTACCGCCGCTATGCTTCTATCTTCTTCATCATTGGCGTTAACAACACCATTGTCTCTCCTACCGGGGCAAGTGCCAATGGTGGGGCGGTCGCAGGAAATTCCGTAGGCGGTGCTGTCTCCGCGGCGGCACTATCGGGGGATGCTGGTGGCGGCATGGAGGAATTGCAGGAGGAGGGAGAACTAGCGATGTACGAATTCATCCATCTTGTGGTAGAGACGCTTGATAAATACTTTGAGAACGTGTGCGAACTGGACGTGCTGTTTAATGTGGAGAAGGCTCACTTTATCCTTGAGGAGATGCTTGTGAATGGGGGAGTAGGAGAGACGAACAAGCTTCTTATTCTGCAACCACTAGTGCTGATGGACAAGGAGCCCCGCAGGGTGTAGATGTCGGAGGGAAAAGACAAGGATTCTCTGCATATTCGCGATTTGTCGTTCTTGGTGGCCGCCGGCGTGGTTGTTGTTGTTGTGTTTGTTCTTCTTTTTGTTGCTGCGTTCTATCGCTATTCCTCTTCTTTTTCACTCTCTCCATTGCGACCAACATGTTCGTTCTCACTCGTTTCCACGCCGGCAATGGAGCATTCTGGGGAATAAAGCGTTAATATTTTCATATGAATGAATGACTGCAGTCTGTTTACTGTGGTCTTCTTTTTTTTTTTTAGCTTTTACTGTGTCCGCCTTTACCCGGTTTGTTTTCTTTTTTTTCCCCTTTCTACGCTTGTGCATGTTTTGGTGCTTTTAGAGGAATTCCCTTTGCTGGCATTGCCTCAGTGTGAACATAGATATAGGAGACAAAAAGAGAGGGTAACCCTGACGCGTGGCCCTTGCAAGACATCGCATAGTGTGTCACAGCAAAAGCATAGCATGTGGAGGGTGAGAGGGAAAAACGGAAAAGAAAAGACGGAAAAAAGATGGTGCTGAAGCAGATTGGTGTTCGCACCACTCAAGACAAACAGATGGAGGAACGTGAGAATGCTTTGATGGAAGCGATTGCGAGGGATAACGAAAACCCGTTTCAGCGGGGAGCTGACGCTATGCTTGGTGCGGCCAGTTACTTGTACACCAACTACTTATATACATCTGGAACACTGCTTTTGGCGTGGACGTGGTGGGGGCTCTATCCACGCTACGCACGGTTTCGTCAGAAGCACATCATGCGCTTTCGTCGTGCGCAACAGTGTGAATTTCGTCGATGGTTCTTCTACACGCGGCATATACCAAAATGGGACAAGAAATATTTACAGCGGCTGGAGTTACCGCGTCGGACGCCGCATGGGATGGTTGCAGCCCACAACTTTTCGTCGTACGCTAATGTAGGCACCCTTTCGGTACCATCGACTTCATCATTAGCTTTGTCGCATGATGCGGATGCGGGGGTCGTAATACCTGCAGCCAATGAAGCTGCGAAAGATTTATCGCCTTTGATCACGGTTCATCTCACAGATGGAGCCTCATTTGCGGGTGGATCTCGTGCAAAAATGGAGAGGACTGTTGCTTCAGGCATCTGTAGCCTAAATGAATTGTTGCAGCGGCAGGTAGGGGAGGGTCGCATATTGGGCTGGGAGTCTCTGGACCCCGATGCAGTGCAAGGGGAAGTGCAACAGCTAGTGAAGAAAGCGGGCGGCGTCGTTGTACTGAAGGAGACCCACGAAACACGGCGGTCCGTACCCGTAGATCGTGAGGTCTGGTGGGTCTCGCTCGAGGAAGCAAATAGACGACGGGAATGGTGGTTCTGGTTGCAGGTGCTCGTTGCCGCCCGCATCTTGGAGGATCTACTCGATATGCCGGAGATGCCCGACTTTGTGCAGTAATGCTCCAACGAAGCAACCAGACAAATCAAACAAAAAAAAAGGGGGTGGGGGGCAATGATTACACGGAGGAAAGGGCAAAGGGGACCATAAATCTATATTACACACCCACACGCATACAAAACATGCTGGAATGGAGGGAAACAGTGGATGAGGTGGAACCCCGTGGTGTCGTCATGAAGGCGGTGTAAGAGGAAGACAACTCTGTAGCTACGGGGCTACATCGCAATAGTAATTATTATTGTTATTGCTTTTTCTCCAATTTTCTTGGCTGTCTCTCCCGCACACAGATACACTTACTTTTTTTTTTTAAAAAAAAAATCAGGTTTCTGGTTTTTGTGGGGGCTTGTTAGGTAAATAAGTAATTTTTAAGTACTCGGTTAAAAACAACAACAATGCCGGAAGAGAATTCGGGGTTGCATCAGTTCTGGAATACGCAGCCCGTACTGCAGCCGGGCACCACCGTGGCCCGTGCGGTAGGGCCGATTGAAGCCGAGATGTCTGTTGATGAAGTCCCCGCCGAGCCGTTGGCAATTGCCTCAACACTGGAGTGGTGGTCTCCTGACATGAACAACCAGGATGATGTGCGAGCTATCTACGAGCTGTTGCGTGACAACTACGTTGAGGATGGAGATAGTATGTTTCGCTTTAACTACTCGGAGGATTTCCTGCGCTGGGCACTCACACCTCCGGGGTATCATGACTCCTGGCATGTGGCAGTCAGGCGTAAACGCGACCAGGCGTTGATGGGATTCGTCTCTGGCATCCCAATCACGATGCGCATGGGTACCCCGAAGGAATTTTGCCTCAAAAAGAAGGGCACAGCAGATAAGGAAGAACAATGTGAAGAGAACAATAAGGATTTTGGTCAGGACGAGAAACGGTACCTCGAACCTCGCCCCATCTGCGAGATTAACTTCCTTTGTGTGCATAAATTATTGCGGGCAAAGCGGTTGGCACCCATCCTTATCAAGGAGGTAACACGCCGAGTGCATCTTATGAACATTTGGCAGGCTGTCTATACAGCTGGTAGGTTGCTACCAACACCCTTTTCTACGGCGCGCTATTTTCATCGCAGCCTGAATCCTGAAAAGCTTGTGGAGATTAAATTTATGGGGGTGCCAGCACAATATCATAAGTTTCAAAATCCGTTGTCCATGCTTAAGCGTGTCTTTGCACTTCCCGAAGAACCTAAAACACGTGGGCTTCGACCTATGGAACCGAAAGACGTTCCACAAGTTGCGAAGTTGCTGCGTGACAAGCTGGCCAAGTGTGACGTCGCCCCCGTATTTACTGATGAGGAGGTGGCTCACTACACACTGCCCCGTAAGGGTGTATTGGTGAGCTATGTAGTGGAGCGTGTTCTCACTGGTGGCGATGATGAGCATGCCTCTAGTCACGGCAATCAGAACAACAACGGGGCCCAGAAGCGAATCACTGACTTCTTTTCGTTCTTCTCACTTCCATCGTCGGTGATTGGAAATAGCAAGTACTCCATACTACATGCAGCCTATGTGTTTTACAATGCAAACACAACACTTTCGCTGGAACATCTCATGAACAATCTCCTTGTTGTGGCGCATCAACAGGGCTATGACGTTTGTAATGTTGTGGATATACATGACAACGGTGAGTACTTACAGGAACTCAAGTTTTCTCGTGGCGATGGTGATCTGCACTATTACTTCTACAACTGGTCATATCCTACCTTGCAGCAGAAACATGTAGGTTTGTTCATGCTATAGCAGTGAAGGTGATAGATGGCAGAGTGCATCTAGAAGCGTTTGTGTTTACGCGTGTGTGCTTCCTGGTCTGTGGGTAGGTAAAAAAGTAAATTGTCGTTGTGGTGGGGGTGGAGTGTAATACGAAGGAAGAGAGCGTTGCCCGAGGTGAGGAGAAGCGGATTGGAAAACGGGCAGTGGAGGGAGAGAAGGGAGTAAAGCCATAGAGAGAGGGATAATCATTATATATATATATATATAAGGGGGTTATTCTCATGATATCTGTGGAAGCGCTAGCTTGGAAGTGAAGGCGAGGCAATGAAGGTTGTGAGTGGTGTTTGTGGTGTCTTTCATCTACAGCGATGTACCGTTGTTTTATGGGGTTCCACTCCTAGCAGTTGCCCTACTACTGTAGGACGGTCGAGGAGGTGATGTGAGGGGATGGTCCATCATCTCCCCAACACCTATCTAACGTCTAGTGAAACACCCAGAGACATGCAAAGAGAGGGATATGGGGAATGTGAGAGAAGGCTATGAGGGCATACCGAGAACTAGTATTAACGCTTAGGCAGAACGTGGGGGGAAAGAAAAGAATGAGTTTGCATTTTCTTGCTGACACGCTTACTCTGAGAGTGTAGCGAGAGGAGGGGATGTCTATTATGTATGCTGGGAGGCACAACATCGGTAATTTCTAGACATTATTGAGATTCTTCTTTTTGTTTTTAATTCCGTTGTTTGTGCAGCTTACCACTCTTTTTTTTTTCTGTTTCTTTTCTTTTTCCAGTTCCTTTTTTTTTTTTGCACTCACTATTTTCACGCGTGTGTACTCTGTTGGTAGAAATGTGAATGGGGTATGACTGGGGGCGCAGCAAGGGCACATCCATGAGCTGCAGCAAAATATAGTGGAAATAAAACAAAATAATGCACAACTAGATGGAGTCGAGGAGATTGTGAAGGTTTTTTTGTTTAATTACTCTATCTCTTGACAGACTACGTGCTTTTTGTTTTTGTTTTTGTTTCCAACGATGCTGCGGTAACAGATGGCGGGACAATTTTTTCTTTCTTTCTTCTGGCGTTTTTTTTTTGTTTCCTCCTCTCATTCACAACCCTTCTAGCACTCATGAAAATGCCCCCATGTGGGGAGTCTTGGAGCGTGGTGGTTGCGGGTGACCCCAAAAACTTTCGATTCATGAGTTGAGAACGACTCTGGGCATTCTAACTGCACCCCCTGTGAATCGACCTGTCTGACTTGCCTTTGCGTGAGTGTGGTGGATAATTCTTCTCTGAAGTGGTGGACGTTGGGTGCAAATATTGTGCCAAGGTGTGTTCTCTTCTTCTTCTTCTTGCGCGTTGTAGGAATAAGGGGATAAGTGCTGCATTCAGGTGGCATCTTTGTAGACGGCAGCAACAGGGAGAATAACAGTTTTTTTTTTGTTTTTGTTTTTCAGAAAAAAAACCGACGGGTGAAAAAAACGAGAGAGAAAGATAGAAGAAAAAAAAACACGCATAAAAAGGACAGCCACTACCTTTGAAGTGTTGCCCTCAGATCTAGCCTTGTTCAGAGAGAATGAACAACGACAACGTCGGGATGCCAATTCCGGTCTCAACAATTGTGGTGAGGCGTCAGTGCTACCCGTGCGTGCCCCCCGAATTGCTTCTGCGGGAGCATGCAGGGAAATTTTACTTATCAGATCTCACACCGGAATCTCTGCTAAACGCAGTTTCGCCGCGAGTTAACCCCGTTTTGCCTCCCTATCTTGGAAGTAAGGGGAGCAGTGGTGGGGTGAACAACGATTTGGTCTACGCTCTAATTAGGGAAAGTGTGAGGCTACCCCCCGTGCCCAGCGATAACATCAAGGAACTGAGTCCGGTTGCCCAACGTTTAAAGATGGAGGCGGAGGCGCAGCGACGGGCGAACACTGTGCCGCAGTCGAATATAAAAAAACAGTTGCTGGCGGAAGACGAAGGTGCGTTTGTCTTTGAAGAAGCATCGACTTCGCATATTACGGCTGTTGAATTTCTCCGAATGCCTGCTGGACGCAACGATGATAGTAAAGTGGCGGAGCGGGAAGAGAAAAAGGCGGATAAGACACTTGTTTCTATTTATGGATCTGTCCCACGTGACCTTAAACTAGAAGAGGGAGAATGTCTCTGGGGGTACAATACTGGGGCAGTATTACTTGTTTCCCTGCGTGTCTACGCGACTGATCTCAGAAATCGTCGCTTCTACGAAGCATTGTCGTTGCCAGTCCAACCTTCGTTCCCTGATTACGAGCGTGAAGTGAATGGATTTTCCCCTTCTGGAGGCTCGGATAGTATTTTGTCCATTGCTGAGAGGCAGCGCAATAACCTTTTAGGGTGTGGCATCGCTACGGAAGAGCGCGGTTTTATTCGAGGTATGAGTAAACAGGCCCCACACGGTGTTTCATTACTGGGGTATCATCCTGTTGGTGGCGTCTGTGCACTCGTGTACGATTCTCATAATGACCTTGCAATATCTGGTGGGATGGATGGCACCTTATTTGTATGGGATGTGCATCAGCAGTATCGAAGAGCTCTAAGGGAAAAATATATGCGTGACGAAGACACGAAAAACATGCGTCCCGCACAACAATTTGCTGCTTATATTCACACACGGCGTTTAACTCAGCGTATTCCTCGTGCTCATAACACATCGGTCAGCTCTCTTGCTACGTACTCCGAACTAATGATCAGTGGTGGGGTAGATGGTACCATAAAAATATGGTCGTGTATGCATTTAGCAGGCATCACCGTCCATGGTGCACCACCGCAGTACGTTGAGCAGCAAGTCTTTAATTGTAATGGATGGGTACGAGATATTTGGTCCTCTCCAGAGCGGATTGTGCAGGGAGAGGATGTCTTGGTGACTGACGAAAACGGTTCTATATTTGGTTTTAAAGGAACGACATTTTCGCAGGAGCCTGTCATGCAGGCTTCTTACATGGAGAAGAAGTGGTTACATGCGCTTCGTAGATCAGAAGGACATCGTTTAGGTTCAGCATTTTTTGAGACGCGAAGAAATAGTACTGACCGACGAGGCTTAATACAATTTCCAGCACTTGCTGCGCGTAGGCCGAGTTCTGGTCCCCCTATTGGGGGCTTGCTGAAGCCGGCTACTAATGAGGAGGATGCTATGAAGCTTCTGCGTCGAGGTATCATTACGCAAGCATTACGCCTCACACGCAAATTACAAATCATTGGTGAAGAGGCACGGCTAGCTGTTCTACCTGGAAGTAACCATTCTGCACGAAATGAAAGTACAAGCTCTATCACACGCATTATTCCGTTGGAGGAGCAGAAATTGTTTATAGTATTGGGTTATAGTCCTATGGTACGTTTCCTTGATATGACCCACTTAAATGTGGCGTCGGTCGTAGTGCATCCGAGTCTGCGTGCAGCATCCGGCGAGGAAAAAGGTGGCAGTGTTCAAGCAGCCTCCCCAGGTAACCCACGAGGGTCTAGAAAGGGACAGCAGCGGAAGCCTTTGAGCAATGCCTCCACGCAGAAAAAGTCTTTTTTGATGTCTGGTAATGCTAGTGGTGGTGGTGCTGAGGCATTGCGTTTTGTAGATGTCTTATATGTTACCTCGCTTAGTTATCTACTTTTGTTGGACAATCGAAATACAGTGTTCGTCTGGGATAATGTGGAAAAAGTGTTTCTTACCTCGTGGAAATCCCCTGTAACCAATGAAAGTGGAAAGACAAAAACTGCACTACGACTACTGTCGTGTGGCACTCGTCATTACAAAAGAAGTGGGAATTCTGGCAGAGGACGGATTAGTCGTGAACTATATGGCAAAGCTAAACGTCGTGGGGTGTGTTTTCACGAGCAAGCAAACAACTTGGAGGACAACGCAAAGATGGAGGACGAAGCAGGAGATATCACAATACCGTTTTTTGTTGTATGCAACACAGGCGTAGAGTTGTGCGATGTGGTGATTGAGACTGAGGCACGGCTGGAGTTTAGGGGGCACCAAGATGCCATCGTGGGGATTTTCTTGCGGAACTCCCCACCCTCCTCGGTTCAACGCATCGAAAAGAGACCCAAAACGATGCTTGAAGTTGGTGATGCCTTTGAAAAGAAAGTCTGCGGGGGCGCAAATATAAGTTCATATGACCAAAAGATTGAAAAAAACATTTCCAGTAGAACGATAAGTTGTTTAAACGACAAGTTCAAAGGCAGCAACAGTGACGTGGAGAGGGATCTTGGCCCTGAATCAGAATGGTTTAAATATTTCCTGCGGCAAACTGAGGCTGGTGGGCGCATTTATGTGCTATCGTGCTCAGTAGACGGTGACACTTGTTTCTGGGGAAGTTCCTTTGAACCGCTTTCGGTTTACCATCATGGGAGTGTTTCTGAGAAAAATTTTGAGTTTTGTACCACTGTTCTACACGAACCCTTTCCGCGCGACGGTGTTGCCTCCCCATTCGGTGCCCCGCCGTGCACCATTAAGAAAAAGAATGGTGTGGGAAATGAGGTTGAGAGTGGTGGCAATGACGTCACAGCTTTTTACTACTATACACGCTGGAACTTGGCTGTCACGGGGCATGATGATGGTAGTATTCGTTACTGGCCCTGTGGGAATGAGGTTGCAACATGTGTTTGGCATAAAGGACTACATAGTAACACCGTTAGTGGTCTCGTGGCGGCTCGCATTGTGGAGCAAGAAGATCAGTTGGGCACATTAGCACGAATTGGTGGGAGTGTTGTTAAAGCTTTAATTGCCAGGGAACCAGATGAATTGCTCGCGTCTGTTTCCTTTGACGGCTATTTGGCTGTCTGGGAGTACCCTGAGCAAGCCAAGGCAAAGCCACATGGTCGCACTCGAATTAGTTTTAACGAACTTATTTGCCTTGCTTTTGATGAAATCAATGAATTGTTTATTGTTGGTGACAGTGCCGGAACCGTTAGTTCATGGCACGCGCGGGGTCTGGAGCCACGTTGCTCTGTTCCATCACGGCCTCCGTCCCCATGGCGGCCATCCGCGACTGCGCTCAAACTTTCAGCTGCCGATGCACGAGTATTCGGTCCTGCGCCCAATACTGCAACTTGGTCGTCACGTCATCGTGGTGGTGGTATTAGTAGTAGCAGTAGTGGTGGTGTGACTCTTGGTAGCAGTCTGACACAGGAAAAGGGAAAGGCGCGACTTGGACACACTGAGGCTGTGACAGCGCTAGTTGTGGATGGCAACTTCGTCTTTTCTGGCGGTGAGGATGGACGCGTCTTTTTGTGGGATCTTCGTATTGGTGTTCTTTTACGGGAATACATTCTGCTGCATGACACTGATGAAATTGCACAGCACTGTAGAAAGGTGAAGTCAGCCGCAACAATGCAAAGTTCTTCACGTGATAGTACAAAGATTAATTCTCGTTCTACGGAGGATATAATTGTTTCCCCTGGACGAGCAGTGAAACTGTATTCGGAAAACGTGACCGCTTTTGCATTACTGAAGCGGCGTAACGGGGACTTACTTGTTGCCACGAGAGAGGGTTGGTTGTACCACTTTGGGCAAAGCTGTACGTATCCTCGCTCCACCTATAAGCATAGTTCCTCTGTGAGATGCATGTGTGTTCTTCATGATGGATGCGCAGAGGATAATACCGATCTTGACGATGATGAAAGTCATCCTTCGAAGGAGGTCCTTGCATTTGAGTTGGTTATTGGAGATGACGAGGGAAACATGGCCGTGATACGCGAGCCACACTTTAATCCTACCTTGTGAGTATTTGCATTGCAACACCCACAACCAGGAAGTAGATGGTGAATTGAGTTGGTGAATAAGAGCTCTAACGGCAGACGGAATTATTTGTCCGCGGTGTTGTTTTAGGCCACCGTGGACTACTAAATTATCCTGCTCCTCAGTGAATATGTATATATCTGTACTTATGTATAAGTTTAAGTTGTGGCCCCTAGCGTTCTTGTTTTCACTCTCCCTCTCTTTGATAGTAGTTATCTGTGTGCATGCGGGGAGGGAGGTGGAGTGTGTCGAATGGTTTTAAGTTTGTTGTTGGGGACTTTCCCACCCCTACTTTTTTTTTTTTGCTAATGGGCGGTTTTATCCTTTCGCTCACTGATGTTAATACACTCAAAAACGGGCATAGGTGTAGAGAAGTATGGACTTTTTTTGGATGGAATTTCCGCCCCCACAACACATTTTTTTGTTTGCTTGCTTGATTTTTACTTTCCGGATTCGGGAAGGAATGCTTTAACGTGTTTTTGAAATGGTGTGGCCGGAATGTAGCATGCGGCAACGCCGCACAGGTCATTCGAAATGCATTCGGGTGGTCTGGTGTCTGTACCTCCGGTTCATGCCTCATGCCTGTCGTACAGTATTGCTTGTGGTGAGTCGTTTTTGCATGACGACCGCTGCTTTGCTGTTCCCATGGATGGCACAGATGTTATTATTATTATTTCCTTGTGTTGTTGTTTCCTTTACTGTTGATGGCCGCCGAACTTTTCGCTGCGCAGAGAATTTCTATTTTGTTGTTCTGTGTCGTGTTTTTTTTGTTGAGTCTCACTCAACGTAGTTTTGTTCTATCATTTTTTTTTTTTGGTTTGTCTACTTCTTCTTGGCCCTCCAGCAACCTCAGGATCTATGGCGAGGGTTTTTTGCGTACGACAACGCGTGTGGTTGCGTGTTGTTCTGCTGACCAGTCTTTTGCTGGCCTGCGTTTTTATAGAAATCGTGTCTGTGGATGAGGCGGACACACATGCGGGGGCGGAGGGCCACGTGGAGGCGACGTTGCAGCGATGGATGGACACGTACCTTGACACGGCCTCCGCTCTCCTTTCAAACCTGACCCCACCCGCCGGCGACAGTGACAACGACACGAAGGAAAACCAGGTTTTTTGTGACGCCGTGGTGAAGCGGATGTGGGAGGATGTGATTCCACTGCGCTACAATATTGCGTTTAAAAAGGTGCTTGTGTCCCATCGTCGTCGACACACGGCTGTTTCCTTGGGAAACCCCGAGGCAAACCAAAAGTATATCGTTTGGTCGCTTAGTGGCGGATTGGGGAACCGTGTTCAGGCGCTTGTCAGTGTCTTACTTGCGGCATTGTTGTCAGGACGTGTGATTTTAATGAAGGACTGGTTCACTCCGCTGCAGCCATCCGGGTCGCCACCCGTTCGACCCACGGTGCTCCCTTTTGTAACGTATGGGAATACCTCGCAGGAGGCCTTTCGTTATGAAAATTTGAGGGAATTGTTTTGGTTTTCTAACGACGAACGCTCTTCTCGTGTGGAGAATGAATTTATGTTTTGCAGTATGTTCCCTGTCATGTCTCTCAGCCAGTTTGAGAAGATTTATCCTGAAGAATTTAGACGGCAGAACAACTCAACTGAAGTAGCTCTTTTTAAAGATGGTCATGCAAAAATTGACATTCGTGCGGGTCATGACAAGAAGCTGAGGCTTTGGAAGCACCTTGCATGTGGAGACACTTCCACAACTGGCGAGGTCGATTTCTTTTCTCGTGAGAAATTTATCTACATCTGGACCAACCAATACTTTCTTCCGCTCTTTTATGCAAACAAGCGCACGAAGCCTATTATGCATGCGTGGTTTAGCAGAGATCCATTTCGGTCATTATTGCCGTTGGTATTTCTTCCTGCGCGTCCCGCAATGTATCGCGTGGTGCGTTATATGCGATTGAACGCCCTGTTAAAACGACGCCGGTACGTGGGACTTCATATTCGTTCATTTAGTCGGCATAAAACGGGTGGCCTAGTTAAATCTTTTTTTGCTTGTGTCAATCAATTCGCTGCGCGAGCACCTTCGCCTCCGACATTCTTTTTGGCTTCCATGTATCGCGAGGCGAAGAGTTATTTTAGTGTAAACCCGCTCAAAAAGGGGGCTCGTGTGGTTTCCCTTGACTCTGACCAAAAAGGAGAGGGGCAGGGCACCGGGCAAGGCCCTGTTCCAGAGTGGGAGGCTCTAGCGGATGTGGTGATACTATCATTATCCAGCCATCTTTTTTTGTCCCCAGCGTCGACGTATGGTTTTCTTGCCGCTGCGGCCGGAGAAGTTGAGTTTATCACGTTTGTCAAGGCAAGGAGTCTTGATGCCGGCAGGTCGGAAGACACGCGCTGTGTCAGAGTGGACGCAAATGCCGTGACGGAGCCGTGCTTTACGTCGTGGTTTAGGCTCGACTTCATCCGCAAACGCCGTCAACAGATGAGGTGTGAGTTGGGTGATTTGCCCTCCTGGGCACTTCATTGTGGAACTAACATGTGATACCCCCGGCAATGAGGGCCCTCTTGCCGCGGTGTCAGTTTATTGTACTTCTTTCAGAATGAGGAGCCAAGAGCTGTTCCGTGGGTGGTGGCTCGTGCGCGTTCCGCGGTCAACGCCCTGCAAGTATATGAGGGGAACCATTTGAAGCTGTTATGCCTGCCCTGATGGGGATTGACGGCGTTTAAGGGCCAGAACGCCGCAGCAGCTTTGGAAGCAGCCGTGACACCGATGGGGATCGGCCTTGTAGACAAAGCGCTCTCCTCTGTTGCACTGGGGCCGCAAGTTGTATTCTCCTTCAGATACTATTTTTTGGTGGCATCAGGAGTTTTCTAGTAAGCAGGGCCTGGCAGCTCCAACGTAAAGGTCTCAAAATTGTCGCGTCTCTAGTGATGCGGCATGCATAGGCGCGTTTCCCCCCTTCTCCTCGTTTCAGCTGGGCGTGTGGCGACAGTGGCTATTGAGGTTTAACGCAAAATGAAGAAAACAACAACGACTATACAGGAGCGTGTGGTGCAGACTTGTTTTAATTGTGCCTTCATGCTCGTTGTGTTTGGTTGTTGCTGCTCGTGTTTGGCATTTCTTATTCATTGAATTTTAGGTTTTGTTTATTTGTCTCTGAGGGATTTATTTTTTTTTGGTGTCTTTTCCACTTCCTTTTCTGCGCTGACTCCTCAGGGGTGTGTCTTTTTTTTTTTCTTCTCTCCCTCATATATATATATATATATATGAGTGGTGTTCTTTGTTGGCGTGTCCCCCATTGTTTTTTTTTTTTTCATTTTTGCCTTTGTCATGCTCTCTTGTGAGGTGAAGTTGGCGTCCGTGATGCACAACGGAGTCAGCTTGGATGAATACCAGCAGCGCTTTGATTTGCTGCGGGGACACCTTGTTGAAAACGATGGGGATTGGTACTTTATGCGGGCGCAGGAAAACCGCCTCTTGTATGGAGGGGAAGTGAAACATAAACCCACAGCTGCTTCAAGCGCTCTTCAGCGCCGGTACTTCAACTGCTTTTATGACTCCTTCAGGCAACGCAACGGTGAATTTTATCGCAACCTTCTCAATGAGGTGATGCAAAAGGAATGGGCGGAACGTGGCCGGCTTAATGAATATGAGGAGGAGGAATTTTACGGTATTTGCCGCTCTGCAGGCAACGTCCTAGGAGTTGCTGAGTGGGGTGGATTGTATTACACCTCACTACCACCGTTGGAGTCAGAGGAGTTTGGTCGCAGAATGATAATAAGTAAATTTTTCGCCATGCTGCTTGAGGCGGTTTCTTTGCTTGAAGTTCTTCACCGCCGAACGATAGTTTTTGCTGAGGAGCCGCCTGCGCGGAAGCTCATTGAAGGAGAGGAGGTGCATGAGTGGGTTGAAAGTCGACGGCTGCAAGTGGAGCGAGAACGACAAGAGGAGATGGCACTTGAGGCGGGGGAGCGGCAGCGATATTTGGCCTACTGTGGTTGGAAGCAGCAACAGGCGTATCAGGTGTTTTTGTTTGGGCAGAGTGAGCAAGAGGAGCGAATGGATGTCGAACGACTTCAGCGATTTCACGCTGGCGTGATTGCGCACCATTTTTACAAGGAACATAAAGAGGCGCGATATCATCAGTTAAGGTATCAAATGCGACAGCGTCTGCTTCCTGCAGCATTGGCGCGGGGTATAGTTGGTGACGAGGTCAAAGAACGATCCGTCATTCTGCTTTTGCAGCGCGATCGATATAGCGCCTTACAGGCGGAGGAGGTGAAGAGTTATCTCTGGACGAAGCGAAATGCGTTGTTGAACGAGCTTGTCGATCGGGAGCGTGGTGGCAAAGGATGTGTCTATACCTACATGTAAACTACATTGGAGAAAAGAATGAATGAGGAAAAAAAAGAAAAAAAAAGGGGGGTGGGGGAATGCACATATACACAATAGAAAAGTTTGCTGGTTGACAACTTAGAGTGTAGAAGGTAAAGAGATATGCGGTTGGAAATGCGCTTGGGGGAGGAAGCAAGAAACATGCAGAGGAATACAACCAATTGGGGATGCGTCATTTTGTTCTTGAGGAATATATATATATATATGACACTTATTGATTTTTGTTTGCTTCCGCTGCTTAACCTTTGCAGGTTTTTTTTAAATTTTTATTTGTAGCCCTTAAAGCGACGGTGGCGCCACACTCAACATTTTGCCGGATCTCGTCCTTCGCCGGTGTGAGTCACTAGGCGGTGAGTATATGGCGACGACGCCTGATTTAGATTCATCCGTGGATGTGATGCGGGCCAAGTTAAAAGGTGTTTGCGTCGAGCCTGGCGCCTTAGTGTCCCTGCGCGATGCTCCGGCGTTTGAGATGGTGATGCGCCTCAACCAGCGTCACAGGGGGAAACTGGTTGCCGCCCTCCTGACAAGTAGCCGCACTCCCGGTGTAGCCAAGTCCGACGATGCTCTTCAGGGGGGTTTAAAGGAGGATAACCGTGATACAATTGGTTCCACGCGCGGCTCGGAGTACAGCCGTCTAGTTTTTGTGCCTGCGGCGTATGAAGTGTTTCTTGAAAATGAAATGCAAAAGTGGTTGGACCCCTTTTATGGTCGTGTGGAGGCTGCGGCCCTCAAGCGTGCTCGCGGTGAGCGGGACAACTCCAGTAGTGACGATGAGGAGTTCATGGGTGACGGAGTAGACAACGACGATTCATTGTCCGACTAAAACACCCCTTCAATTGCGAATTTAATATATATATATATATATATATATATGGCTCTTGTTGTTGGTGCTGTTGTGGCAGTACCCATCGAACCGCTCCCTGTCATTGTATCTGCACCTGTGAGAGGGGAGAGGAAGGAGGACGCGCTTGCTCATCCATATCGGTTTTGCCTTCTCTCGTCTTTGCAGAGGGGGGTTCCGTTGGAGCCATAAGGTTAAAAAAAAAAAAAAGAACTAGACCAGGGAGTTGCACCGGGTGCGGATGGTGGTTCAGCGCGACCGTACCAATGAACTATACGCCCTGTTCGAGGGCATGAAGAGTGCCGGCGGTGGGGAGATGCAAAGCGCCTCATCCACCGCCCTCATCGCAGCTGAAGGAGTCCCGCTGCAACGGCATACAGGCTTACATTCCAGCAGTGAGATGCAACTCTTTAACCGATTTGCCCAGGCGTTTTCCGCGGATCTTGCAAAGGTGTCGGAGTCAATCATGCGGCTGACGCGGCTTACCCAGCGACAAAGCGTCTTTGAGGACCAGTCGTCAGAGATCACCGGCCTCACACAAATGGTAAAATCGTCGTTGCAGCGGCTTCAAACGGATTTGGAGACACTAGAAGAGCTCAAGCAACGGGCGCTTATCGCACAGAAGACAGCGGCGGTCAAACATAACGGCGGAGCCTCTGCCGAACAGCATAGTTTGTGGAATTCGGGCGGAAACGTTGATGCCGTCCTCCGAACCTCCTCCAAGCACAACGACACAGTGGTGGACACGCTCCGAACACGACTCGCCCGCACTGGACAGGAGTTTCGTACCACGCTACAGCAACAAACACGGGCAATGAAGGAAAATACACAACGACGTCATATGTTTACTGCCAGTGAACGTATGCAAACCTTTGAAAGTGCATTGTTTCAGGATCAGGAACGGCATCAACTGCAGCAGCAGCAATTGATGTCAGGCACTAGCAATGCACAATACTATAAACAACGAGCGGAAGCCGTTCGGGAGCTGGAAGCCACAGTTGTGGAGGTGAGTGAACTATTCAATGATTTTTCCCGACTTGTGCACGAGCAGGATGAAGTGGTTCTGCGAATCGATACAGACGTGGACAATGCGCTGCGGCACGTCAACGCTGGAAGCAACGAGTTAATGCGATACTTGGCAAACCTGAGCTCAAACCGTGGTTTGATATTGAAAATCTTCAGCGTCCTGTTCTTTTTCATCTTGTTCTTTGGCCTGGTTGTTGTTCGTTAGACCACACAGAAGCTTATGCATGAAAAAGAAGAGAGAAAGAGACGTTGTGCAGGGAAACGTAAAGAAAAGGGGAGGAGAGGAACATCAATGAAATTCAGTCATCGGCCGTTTTTACCATTATTTTGTCGTATGCTGTTTCCCGCGTGTCGGACTCTAATGGTGTGCATTCAGGTGAGGGAAGCGGTGGAGCAAGGGGTGCGTGCACGAACCGTGGGTGCTGTGCTGTGTGTCCGTTAATGGTTGCGGGTAATGGTTTTTTTGTTTTTGTTTTAGACTCTCCTCCATGCGCTCACCAAAAGAAGAAAATAGAAACAACGACGTAAAACATTTTATTATTTTGCTGGAGTTTTTTTTTTTTTTCTGGTGGTGGTGGTGGGGGGGGGGGGCTTTTCTCTCTCTTGAAGGGAAAGGCGCGTGGTGTGGTGGCACAGTTGCTCAAAGGGAGGATTGTGATTTTAACCCGACGAGGAGGAACCACCTCCGTAACCGACAGGGGGCACACATTAACCTGAGGCGAGAAGGAAGTTCAGAGAAAAACGCCGCGTAACGAACAAAAGCAACCACAACAGAAGAAACAAAAAATAAAAAGGAAAGGCCACAATGATGTACCCAAAGTTGTTGGCGTCGCAAGAACTTTCCCTTCGACGCATTACGGTGCAGCAACACTGCCTTTCCATGCAACTTTTGGACCCGGACACGAATAGTATGAATCCATCCGTCAACAGCCCCAACACCAGTGTGAGTAGTACCTCCCTTCCGCGACAGGTATCGGCTCGCAGTGAGTTGACGTCGCCGTTGACGCTAAGCAGTGCAGGACAGGTTGGCGCCTCGTTTCCTCCAACCAAAACTGTCGCTTCTTCCCTGACCCCAATCGCTGGGTATGGGACGAACAGCACCGCACCGGCTTCAATTGCGCGTCCAAGCATACGAGTCCGCTCAGAGTGGAGTTCAGCACTGGAGGATATCGGGCTATTTGTTTTCCCGGCACGGCAACTACACGGTTCCCAACCGTCTACGCGGCGACATGTAACGGTGCGGTACGTTGCGGATCAATACGATCATCAGTGGATTGCGCAGAGGCAGGCGTCATCCAATTCGGTGTTGACAAAGGGTAAAACGGGAGGCATTGGACACTCAGCGACCACCTCACTCTCTCCGTCGCCGCGTGCATCTGCGTCTGCGTCATCAGAGCGTCAGAAAATTTCGCTTTCTATTCTCGAGGATCTTATAACAGCATTTGAAGTAGGCTCCTACTGCAATCCTGAGATTCCCGTGCAGCGACAGCCGGTTTCAAGCTTTAATGGTGTCATAGCGACTGGGGCAGATACGTCAGTGGTGGAGGAGGTGCGTCAGTACTGGTTAGGCAAACGGCAAGCCCTGGGTGGCAATGTGCCGTGTATTCCATCGCTCCACATGAACGTCCAAGAGGATAACCAAACATCATTGTGCCATAAGGAGCTTCTTCAGTTTTGTCCATTGCCGTTTAATCACAGAGACTGGTCCACTACGGTACTGCAACGCCGTATACCACGGAGTATTAATGTAAAGAAGATGACTGAGACAAATACTGAAGTGGTTAAAACTCAAGAAACAGGGCTGTTGGGTCGAAAGCGCCCGCGGCTTGACGCTGACAAGGCAGCATCGCGTGAAACGGTGGGTCCTACAACAGAGGAGGAAGACGCGGCAGCGAAGAAGGAGCGTCACGCACTACTTTCAGCTGGGTTGAAAGTCGCGCGGGCGGTACTGGAGCGTGAAGAAATAAAACTAACTCACACGCATCTCGCCCTCTACGAGTTAGCGCTTCTGCGGCAAGCCGCGATGGAAGGGTGTGACTTCCTGGAGGGGGGTGCTTCGTCGCCTTTTCACGCACCCTGGGCGAGTGATGAAGCGCTACAGGAGGATTGGGAGACGGGAGGTTGTGATGTCGTGGGCAGTGGGATTGCTGCGGCAGTGGTGGAAAGTGTGATGGCCATTGGCAGAGGATTGTGCTAACCAACAATGGCGGTGGTGGGTGGGTGGACGTATATGAGAGAGGCAAGTATAACAGGCACCTACACACACCGTGGAAATGTGAGGGATGGAGATGAATTGAGATGCGCGGGGGGTGGAGAGGAGAGGTTGGTAAAGCAAAAAAAAAAAAAAGTATGCGCATGTTATTTTTGTTTTGTTTCTTCGTTCATCCCATCCGTTTTGATGTCAATTGGGGTGTGAGATCTCATTTCTGGGTTTCTTCTTGGGGTGGTGGGTGTGTTGTATTCGCTGGTGGAAGTAGATAAAGGTGCAAGGTGGTTGTAATACTTTTAGATATTCAGGACCATACGAAGGTATTTACTATTTGGCGTGGGCAGAAGAGAAATTTCACAGGGACCATCAATTAACAGCAAAGGGTCAGTTAGAGAATTAAAGGTGTGGGAGAATAAATTTTATACCCTCCATATAACCTTACAGAAATGCTTCGCTCACCTCAGCCACGCCTTCCGCAGCAGGTTCCTGGCGGGTACCCGCCGCCGCCCCAAACTCAACAGCAAAGGTCAGTGACTGCGCAACCCCCCGCACAAGCAAAGCAGCCGCAGCAGATGGAGCATCAGGATGTGGTCCACGATACACAGTTTGACTACTATGGGCAGCTCCTTGCGACTGCAAGTTCCGATCGCACTGTAGGCATTCATGTTGTCCAAAACGGTCAGTTGCAGCGTATTGCAACCCTTACGGGCCATGAAGGGCCCGTCTGGATGGTAAGTTGGGCGCATCCTCGATTCGGCATTGCGCTTGCCTCCGCTGGCTATGACCATAAAGCAATTATATGGAAAGAGGTGCCTCAGGGTTCGAAGCAGTGGGCCCCAGTACACGTTATTGACTGTCATCATGGTAGCGTTAACGCTGTGAATTGGGCCCCGGAAAGCGCGATGGTAGCAACTGCCAGCAGCGATGGAACCGTGGCGGTGACCACGTATGAGGGTGGTGTCTGGCGTGAGAGCTTAAAGCTCAGCAACAATAGCAACAATATTGCCCATGCGATGGGGGCGACGAGCGTTTCGTTTGCACCTGTTTGTCCTGCATTGAGTGATGTTACACTGTTGGTTTCTGGAGGCTGTGATTCACACGTGCGATTGTGGTGTCTACATGAGGCAAATCCAACGGCACATTCCTTTGAACTTTTGGACGCTTTGGACGCTCATACCGATTGGGTACGCGATGTTGCATTCTCCCCTCTCTGCGCTGCAACGAGGCACGCCGTCATCGCCTCTTGTGGACAAGACAAGAGCGTTATCATCCACCGCAAGCCATGGGATCAAATAGAGGCTCTCATTCAGGAAAAACGACAGAACACTAGTGGAAGTGGGATGCAATTGCAGTCAATGAAGGAAGTTGGCGGCACGTGGGAACGCAGTGTGGTGCTTTTTGACGAACCGGTGTGGCGCCTATCATGGTCCCCGGCAGGGGAAATGCTGGTGGTGACAACCGGCGACTCGGAGGTGTATGTTCTTCGCGAAAACGGAGAGTTCACGCAGCCGTGGCTGAAAACGCCTCTCAGCGAGTATCAAGAACAACTGCAGTAGTAAGAAAAAAAAAAAGGCACAGCAACGCAGAAGCGTTAAACCCTTTAGAAGAGACTGAGGGAGGCGACTGTAATGGGGGGTGAATGAGTGGGTATCAGAAGAGGAAGAGGCGGGGAAGGCAAGATCAACGTGGAGTCACAACGAGTGAGGGAGGATTGAACATCTGCGTGTGAAAGACGGAGATGTCTTTTTTTTTGTTTGTTTGTTTTCCTTCAAGCATTATTGACGGTGGTGTTGGAGAGGAAAAGGAAAGGAGGTACAATGGGGTTCCCGCTGTTTTTTTCCTTCTTCTTGGTGTTGTATTATGTGCGTCTGTCTCTCTGCCCGTGTGTGCAGAGTTGTGTGTGAGCTGGAAGCTTGTCGGTGACGTGCAGGTTGGACGTTTATTCCAATGCAGCAAACAACCAGGCAGAAAAAGTGGGTGCGTCAATGTACACTGGGAAATTCATCTCTGCTACGCGGTTAAGGCGCCTGTGCGTTCCCATGTTTACTGGCATCACCCCTCGCTCTTGCGCATACGACACCAATCACCCAGTCTCTTCCCCATTAGAAGAGACACGGTGCATGTGCAAACTCCATCAATAATGAGAGGTGAACCGGTGCCGTCGCCCACACACAAACACAAATTTAAAACAAAAACAAAAAAAAAGGATCTTGTTTTGCGTCCTCGAGGAGATGTATGCGCAGAGACACGTTCCAAGAGGAGGGTGCGGTCCGTGCGTAAGTACATGCAGTGAAAGGAGAGGAATGAAAAAGATGACAGGAAAAAAGGAGGAAAAAAAAGAGGAAGAAGGAGGGAAAAACAATGAAGAGTAAAAGGCAATTATATATATGAAAGACTGTAGGATGCATCGCCATTTTTCATTGTTTTGCTTTGCTCTTTTTTTCTCTACCTGTTTGTTAAATTTGTTGCTGGTATAATTTGTCTCTACCGTCCTGAACCTGCTTGCTTTGTGCCGCCCTGTTTGTAGACATATGTACGTCTCTCTTTACAGTGGTCGCTTTTTATGTCATTATTTTTCCTTCTTCTTGGCGGTGATACTGGAAGAAACGCAGAAGTACGGGCCCAGTGAAGCTGACGTGCAACTGCAGACGAGGGACCGACAACATATATATATATATTTGGACCAAAGTAGCTTTCTCCTAGTAGTCATGGGCGTCAAATTGGGATAAAGGAAGGCGGAAGATCCTTCTCCACAGCTGATGAACCCGCAAGTCGCGTTTCCGCTTAAAATATGTGTATAGTTATGCAGCTGCATCGGCGCAATTTATGTTTCTTGTTGCACTATGCAGCTTTGTGAGATGGCCCAGGTGCACGCGGCAGCTGATGTATTGCCCATACAACTTTGAGGTGTGTGGAACCTATTCTCGTTGCGAGGAAACAAGTGGAGGAGGGGCACGCAAGGAAGTTGATCGAGTACGTTATATTTTATTTATTATTATTATTTTACTTTTGTGTTGCGGTGTTGTTGTTCCTCTGTGTGTTTACCTTCACAGCAATGCAGGGTAAGCTCTGGATGTTTCAAAGCTGCTGGTTTTGGAGTATTACGGGATAACGTCAATTAGTAGACTGTGGGGCATGCTTTTAAAGCTGCCATACACTTTTCCGTCTGGGGTACTGGTGCTCATTGCCTCTGCCACGTGCGCATCGACGACGACACAAAAAAAAAAGTGTGTGTGTGTGTGGGAGGGGGGGGGGGAGTATATTGACCAGCAGCGGCAGGTGGTCAAGGGCTTGAAGAGGGTTTTTGTCTTGCACTTGCCTGTATGAGTACTTTTGTGTTATTCTCACCATTCCTTCCATTCTTTTCTTGCGCTTTGTGCGCGTTGATGGCTGCTGGGGCGTGTGTAAGACTTTTGTTTCTCCTGGACCTTGTCTGCAGTGAGGCCATTGGCTTCCTGTCGGCGTGGAAGTTTGTCACGCTGATATTCTTCTCCATTACGTTCGACGAGGACCCATGCGTGTGCGGTGTCCATGCGCATATATAAGTGAGTAGTCGAGACCTCATGTGCAAATCAATTGGGGAAACGAGGAGTGGGTAGGATAAAAAAAAAAACATTTATGCTCACAAATAACTCTGCCACTGAGAGGTAGTAGGAGAGGAGACGGCGGGAGAGAACTACACGCACGTGGGATGAGTGAGGAGTGAAGCGTTTGTATATTATTCTCAATCGACATTGTCGTGCGTAAACGGCGTCAGGCTGGGGGAAAGATTGCGGTTTTGAACAGGAAACAGTAAATAATAACGTGGAGTGACAGGTTCTTGGAGAAGAGAAAGAGGGAGAAGAAGAATGCATGTTGTGATTCTGCCGTAATGTCCATTGGTGTCTCTCCGTCACTTGGTTTTGTTTGCACCACCGTATGTGAAGACGTTGTGCCCGCAGTGTAAGCGACTTTGTCACGGATTCGCGTCATTGTTCCTCCTTTTTTCTCTTTGCAGCCTACACCGAAGGCGAACAATCCTTCCGTTCCCCGTTCTGGCTCTAGTGGCATGATGCGCGCACGCGTCAACATGGGCATTAACGTGTTATTTCACTCTTTCTTTCTTTCTTTCTTTCTATCTCTATCCTCCTCTTTATCTGCGAAACTTTGTGTGGCCTGGCGAGGATAGAGAGGAAGCAAGTGAGCTCAAAGATAAGGAATTAAATAAAAACATATTTTATTTAATTCATTCATTTACGTGTTTATTGTAAAGCCTGCGGAGTACGCCTGGGAAAGAAATCATGAGTGGCACTGCTGAGGTTGCTACTGCTGCTGCTGCGGCACCGAGTAGGCGCATGCCGCCATGGCTGTTGACGCCAGGCGGCCCTAAGGAGCCAAGCTCTGCGGAGTTTCGCGCCAAGATGGCAGCTCTCGCGGAAGAGAAGCGGGCCCTGCTTGCCGAGGTGAGGCAGATGCGTGCGTCACTGGGGCCGCGTGAGGGACGCGAGGCGACAGACAATGAACTTGCCGAGCTGCGTCAGCGCATGGGCGACATTGATGCCCGGCGTAAGATGGAACAAGAGATGCGGTTTAAAAAAAACGAGGAGATCCAGCGGGTTCAGAAGTTACACGACGAACGTCAGAGCCGCCTTCGCGAGTTGTCCGAAGATTTGGGTGGGTTCACAACACTGAAGGAGATTGACAACGCGATTGCGCTAATAACTCGCAAGATGGAGACAAGCGGCGGTGGGCTGGCCGCAGAGAAGCGCACAGTGCGACAGTTAAGTAAGTTGGAGGAAGCGAAGCGGTACCTGGTTGAGCTTCAGCCGCTTACAGAAGCCATCACTGAGGCGAAGCACCGCGAGGCAATGCTGCAGCGTGAGTGGCAAGAAATCAATGATCGCATCCGCAGCCTCTGGTCGGAATACAACGAGCAGCGGGCGACGAAGCAACAGAAGGAGCAAGAGATTCGAGTCACTGGGGTGAACCGATCAGAAGTGTACAAGAAATGTGAAGAGGTTAGCAGCAAGATTAATAAGCTAAGCGAGGAGATGAATCGTATGCGTGAAGAACACAATAAGGCCATGGAGGCATGGAATGCATGGCGGGAGGAGGCCCGGGCCAAGTATCTTGCAAAGATGGAGGCGGAGCGAAAAGAGCGGCAGCGGCGGTATCTTGAGCGCAAAAATGCTGCAAAACTTGAGGAGAAGCGGGCTCGTGCGCTTCTTCGTCAGAACCCGTATACGGTGGAGATTGATGCGTGTAAAACGTTGGTGCGCTACGTACAGGATCACAAGGTAATGGTGCAGCGGGAGGAGGCGGAGCTGGCCCGCAAGCAGGCTGCCGCGGCGTTTGACCCCTCCAAGTTCCTTCCAGAAGGCGCTGTTCTGCTGAACGACGGCAAAAAATTCACGGCCCCACAGAAGGGCGGCGCTGGAGGCAAACATAAAACGGTACAAACCCAGAAACAGAAGCCGGAGAAAGCTCCAAAGAATCGTGTGTTGCAGCACCCGGAAGACAAGATCCGTCTCTTCCAGCTCATCAATGAGGAGCCGCCAGCAGCTTTGGCTGCTATTGATGATGCTGTGGAGAGGATTCGCGCCAAACAGAAGGAATACGAGAGCCACATTAAGGTCGGCGAGCTGGAGCTCTCTAGCGATGACGAGGAGGATGAAGAAGCGCAGGAAGAGGAAGAAGCGGTCGCGGCAACCGAGGAAGAAGCCGCAAAGGGAGCGGACGAGGTGGAAAAGGTGGCAACCGGTGCTGCTGAAGCGGTGGTGCAAAGTGGCGAAGAGGAGGTTAAGGCGTGAAGACAGCAATAACAACCCCAGCAAGAGGAAGTAACAAAAACTTTGTGAAGAAGCGCAAGGATGATGAGGAGGTACTGGCGCAAGGGGGAAAAAGCCCACCGTGCGAACTGTGGTGTGCCGCTTTGAGGAGGGACATTCTCGCCTACGCACAACTGCTTGTCTGAAATTAATGGGCGTTTTCTTTGGTTTCTGTTGAAGCAGAAGCGCAAGGAATATACTATATATATATATATATATATTATATATATATATATGACAGCAAGGAAGCAGAGGTAGTGCCAGGCGTGGAATGGGAGGGTAAGACGCACGCCGGTCCGAGGCGTCGGACGGAGTCAGAGAGATTGAATAAAAACGAAATAGAAGTAACTTGAGAAGAAAATTTAACTTTTTTTTTTTTTTAAAAAAAAGGAGGAAGAGAAAGAAACTCAAGGAAACTGAGAGTCCCAGATGAAAGAGAAATACGCGTATGTGGGGTCGTGGCGTGTTGACTTGCATCCTCCAAACACACGTGAAGAGGAACGTGGGGAAGCAGCCCCTCCTACCAGAAGAGAAGAGGGACAACAACACCAATGAGTCCCAGCTGCTTTTTCTGCTCCTTTGGGAAGGAGAGTTGTCCAGCCTTTTCTGCGGATAAATACACACACAGGAAATTACTTTTTTTATAATTAAAAAAAAAACTGGAGGGGGGAGAATTGAGTGTGTTATATATTGTTTGCTTTTTGTAGACATGTTATTACCGCCCTTTATTTTTCTTTTTTCTTTTTTTTTTTGTCTTATTGTATTCTGCAAGACATAAGGCACTATTGAAAGTCAGGGGTTTTATTGCGGTTTATTTGTGCTGCTTATTTATCAGCAAAAAAGACAAAAAGGAAGATTCAAAGGAAATACATTTGGCAGCCCTTATGTCGCAACTTGCTCACAACGTTCAACTCTCCATTTTTGAGCCTGTCGCGCACTCTCGCGCCAACCGCATCATATGCACGATTGGCCCCAGCACGCAGAGTGTTGAGGCCCTGAAAAGCCTCATAAAAAGCGGAATGTCCGTTGCACGCATGAACTTCTCACACGGCGGTCATGAATATCACCAAACGACGATTAACAACGTACGCGCCGCTTCAGCCGAACTCGGGGTACATATTGGCATTGCGCTTGATACAAAAGGCCCAGAGATTCGTACCGGTCTCTTCGAGGGTGGTGGCGTTTCTCTCGCAATAGGTGACATCGTGCTAGTGACGTCTGACCCTGCCTTTGAGAAGGTTGGGACGAAAGAAAAGTTCTACGTGGACTACCCTCATCTCGTCATGACAGTGCGTCCGGGTGGCTTTATTTACATCGACGATGGTGTGTTGAGCCTGAAGGTGTTAAGCAAAGTGGATGACCGCACACTAAAGTGTCATGTGAACAACGCACACTATTTGACAGACCGCAAGGGATGTAATTTGCCGGGATGTGAAGTGGACTTACCAGCGGTGTCGGAAAAGGATCGCGAGGATTTGAAGTTTGGCGTGGAGCAAGGCGTTGATATGATTTTTGCTTCTTTCATACGTACGGCAGAACAGGTGCGGGAGGTGCGTGCAGCGCTTGGTGAGAAAGGCAAGGATATACTTGTTATCTCCAAAATTGAAAATCATCAGGGTGTGCAAAACATCGATGCGATCATTGAAGCCAGTGACGGTATTATGGTGGCGCGCGGTGATCTTGGTGTGGAGATCGCGGCGGAAAAGGTTGTCGTGGCACAGATGATTTTAATAAGCAAATGTAATGTGGCTGGTAAACCCGTCATTTGTGCAACGCAGATGCTTGAAAGCATGACGACAAATCCTAGGCCCACGCGTGCGGAGGTCTCGGATGTTGCCAATGCGGTTTTTAATGGAGCTGACTGTGTAATGCTGTCTGGAGAGACAGCAAAAGGCAAATATCCAAGTGAGGTGGTGCAGTACATGGCCCGTATTTGTGTGGAGGCCCAAAGTGCCACAAACCAGGCTGTTACGTTTAATAGCATCAAAAAAATGCAAAAACTTCCCATGTCCCCAGAGGATGCTGTGTGTAGCAGTGCCGTAAATTCCGTGTATGAAGTTCGGGCAAAGGTCTTGCTGGTGTTGAGCAACTCTGGCCGCAGCGCGCGACTTGCAAGTAAGTACCGCCCAAACTGCCCAATCGTCTGCGCCACAACTCGCATGCGGACGTGCCGTCAGCTCACAATCACTCGATCCGTGGAACCTGTATTTTACGACGCCGAGCGCTACGGCGACGACGAGAGCAAAGAGAAGCGAGTGCAACTTGGCGTAGAGTGGGCCAAGAAGAGGGGCTACGTTGCCCCAGGGGATCTCATGGTGGTGGTGCACGCGGACCACAAGGTGAAGGGGTATCCGAACCAAACCCGCATCATCTACGTCAGCTGAGTTGTAGTTGAAGATGGAGGGATAAATAAAGGAAGTCAATTCGGGAGGAAGGGGGCGAGGCGGCACCAGCATTAAAAAAGAAAATAAAAGAAAAAATAAGAGAGTTGGTGAAAGGTATTTGCGTGAAGACTCAATTGTGATTTACCAACAACAACAAAACGAAAGAAATAGAAAAGGAGGTGTAAAGAGACACCGCATTTTTTTTCTTCCAGAACGAGGAGTGAAGAGCTTTGATGTGAGGGTGGAAGCGAAGACACAAGGGATGCCGTATCTATCCATGTCTATCGAGGCGCGCAAAGCACACCAATCAACAGGGCAGGCCCAGCGCCAAAAAGACAAGAAAAATGTTTTTAAAAAAAGTAAACTAACTAAACGGATTTTTCGTTTTTTACCCTAATTTGTGGCATTAAACCGAGCCAATGCGCGAGAGAGAGAGGGCGAGACAAGAGACACCACGTACAAAGGGATATGTATATAATATATATAAGAGGTGTATTCTTGGCTTTCTTTGCGCTGCTGAATGTGAGAGTGAAATAGGTATGCTGCTTCCGAAAATCCGCATTGACAGGTCTGGCTCACAAGGAACGATTTGAGTTGAACTTCTGCCCATGTGCACAAGTGCAAATCTACTTGCGTGTATACCTCCGTCCGTCGAATGCAATGCGCGCACAACAAGCACGCTCTGGCACACACCGTTCAGTACTTCATACGAAAATTCCATATTTTTTATTTTTTATTTTGTGAGGTTCCCTCGCACATCCCTTAAATGAATAAAAGCGGCAAATGCTTCCTTTTGTTTTTTTTTTGTTTTTTTTTTTTCCTTTGATTGTTGTTCTCTTCATCCTTTATGCTTCGTGGTGGGGCCACATTTTAGAGTTTGCATGCTTGCCTTGCGCTTCCTTTCAATCCTCCCGAAAGAGTTTTCCTCCTTCTATTTTTACAGGTAATTAAGGCTGCGGTAGATTTACCTACAAAAACAGGCGAGCCATGCAACCGCCTTCGGCGTCGCACAAAAAACTGGCGTATCAGACAATATTCCCGCAGTATCTAGATGCTAATCTTACTCCAAGCGAGGGGCGACGCCTGACCAGAACGCAGTCTGTGGAGAACCCGCAGCTTGAGGAAATTGTCGTGGTCTTGAGGGAATTGGGTTACCAGGACTTCTTTATTGAACGAAACCTCTCGTTGCCACGCTCGCAGGCGTGCAATAAATACGCCATCGTTCCTAAGGGATGTGTGAGGGTGGCGATCAAGCGGCCACAGTCAGAGCACTACATTCGTATGAGTGACTTCGACACACAGACGCGAGGTGTGACGGTGCAAGGCATAGGCAGTAAACAGGAGCTTTTGCGCCGCGTGGCGGCTGCGATTAAGGCAAGTTGCGCAGCGCGCCCACAACCCGTGTCTTTTGCTGACGTCACGGGTGCCTCCGTGAAGAAGAAATCGGCATGCAGTTAACAACGAAGAAAGAACGAGATGCTGGTTGGTGAAACGAAAAGGAGAAAACTGAGGAAAGTGTTGTTCCGACCTGTATGCGGGGCTCTGTCCGCTCCTTTTCTCTCCCTCCATTCTTCTTCACTTAACCGGACGAAAACAACAAGAACCGGTTGTTTCTTCAGACTCTTGGAGGGGCGCTCTGCTTGCATCTCCCGCTGCGCGCATTGGACAAGGCAGGGGAAGCCCCCCACCTTTTTTTTTTTTTTTTATTTCCTTCTTTTGCTTCTCAGACTTTTGCAACAACACGGTAGGCACTGTGATGGATGGCCCCTGGCTGCGTGGGCGGACGAGGCGGTGTGACAGTGGCGCGCCGAGCGGCTCTTGGTTTTTCTTGCCAAACGCCTGAGGTGAGGTAGGGGTGGGGGTGGCGGCGCCATTAGCACGGAACGGGGAGACGCAGTATGCAACGGAGGAAAGGAACAGTGGCGGCGGCTCTGATTGCCACTGTCGCGCGAAGACGGGTTTGTTCTGCAATGTTGTTTGCCTCTCATTCCGGCTGGAGGATTTGGGGGGGGGGGGGTGCCCCCAGAACGCTTCCACCACAAGGTGGCGAACCCCCGGCATGCCGAGGCAATAGGGGCCGCACGCCAACGACATGAAGCCAGCCGAGGCACCTAAGAAGCTATAGCGGCAAATGGCAGGGACAAGTAGTTGTGTAACGGAGGGTGCGGCGACAAATGGAAAGTTCATAGCTTTCTGTTTGGGGTGGTTGGGGGGTGGGCGCTGGCGGTGTGCGACTCTGCATCGCGCCGTGTGGGTATGGGTGGGGTGGCTAATTTGCACATGTGTTTTTCTCCTTCCTTTCTCTTTGTGGCAGTTCGCCGCCGGCAAGGGACCCCCCTTGTGCTCAGCGGAGGTCGCGCCCGCTGCGCATGCGGCGCCCATCCAAGAATGCCCTTCTTCTTGTTAACAGTATTTGCTTCTTGTTGATAGCCACATGGCTTCGTTAGGCTCTGATGCACAGGCGACGAGCAATGAACTCGTGACCGCCATAGAGGAGTTAAAGGAACGGCGGGCAGAGATCGAACAAAGCATAAGGCGCGATGAGGAGGAGCGAAATCGGGTGGTTGCCGAACTAAAGGCGTTGAACGCCCGCCTGGCCGCCATCGAAGATAGTCTAAAGCAGAAAATGGAAGCGAAGTTTGTGGTCGAAAAGGTCATCCATCAGACCTCAGAGGGGTTCCGAGGTATTGTTGAGGCATCTCGAAGGCTGCTCAGCAATCTGCGGGAGGAATCCTCCGTTCTCCCTCGCGGTGTTGGTTCGTAGGCGCGGAGGGGCCGTAATAAAAGGTATCGATGCGGGAATACTATATTATTATTTATTATTATTTTGTCGCTGTTGTATTTCCCTTCACGCAAAGCCATACCAGACCATACAAACACCCTTTTCTGCCCTTCTCTTTTGTCCCATTTCTCTGCTACCCCCAAAGGGGCATGAGCACATCGATGGTTTGATGCTGCACGCCAGACGCGTGGGTCGTGGAATTGCCCCAGCGACTACAGCCGCCTGTGGAGCACCAGCCGCAGCCTCGCGTAGGTTCACACGTGGTAGCCCATATCCCGTAGTTCAACCCGGCGGCCACGTAGAGCACCATGTCCGCGCCTGTCATTCCCGCCGTCTTCTGATGCGCTTCGGGGACCTTGAAGTATTGGCAGTTCCCCTGCTTCTTTGCGAACGGCAACACAACAAACGGAGTCTTCACGCGCTGAACGAGCAAACGTTCCGCGTGCAGTTTGACGGCCACAGGAATAATCTCATCCACAATGGTTTTTATCATCTCCGAGGTCAAAACATCATCCTTCGTGCGCGATGAATTCTTTCCCCTGAAGCCCGGCTTTGCTTCATTTTCTTTGGTGCAGAACTTGTCGGCGTCCTTCAAATCCTCTGTGGACACCGCGATGCGGATGGGCGCCCAGTCACTCTTGCCCTCTTCCTTTGCGGCGACGGTGTACGCCTGCGTTGCGCCCTGCCCCTTGCGCGGCAGCTCACGCACCATCGCGGTCGGCGGTCGGCGGTCGGCGGTCGGCGGTCGGCGGTCGGCGGTCGGCGGTCGGCGGTCGGCCGCTCTCCCAAAACACCTCGTCGAAGGCACGGCGGTGTGGGACCTACCGGCGCTGCACGCCAACAGCAGTAGGAACACTGCTAGTGAGAGAAACGGCGCCGCCCCGTGCTGTTAGCGTATAGGTTGAAAACGCGGCTATCCCCGCTCCTTCTTTGGTGGCGCGGGGCTCCCCTGCAAGCGGGATAGAGGGGAAAGATGGGAAAAAACAGGCAAAGGGGGGCCGTAACCGCGAAAGAAGTAGGCCGCTGGGCAAAAACACACGCGAAACTTGTCACAATGCCTGTGGAAAACGGGCTGTGCACTAGGGCAAACACAATCCTGGCGCGGCTGGTTGCGGCTAGCGGCCGTTTTCGCCGCAGCGCACCCACCCCGCGCGTTCCATGGTTTCTTTCTCGCCCCGCCTACTCATCCTCGAAGTCATCCGAGTACTCGGGCCCTGAGGCGGCGGAGTACATGGAGGGCGGCTCGGCGCTCTGCGTGTAGGAAAGCGTTGCACTACTCGCGGTGGTGCTGCGAGAGTCGCTGGCTGACGAGGGTGCCTCTGCGGTTGGCGGCTGCAGGGGGCGCGTCGTGAAATTGAGCGGGGTAAAGACCCTCTTCTTGTACGGCACGGGTGTCTCCTCATAGGCCCGGACGATTTCCACGCGGACCACTTTCACGGCGGCCTCGTGCTGCCGCTTCTGGCGCTTCTCCAAAGCCTTGCGCGCCGCCTCTTCTTCACTCCAAATGGCCATTAGAAGCTCCACTTGGCGCCTAAGGGAGTGCAGGTGAATTGCCAGCTCCGCTCTGTCCTCCCCTGCTGCCACGCCCTTCCGAGGCTGGGGCAGGGCTTCTGCAAGCCTCTGGCTCAGCTCGTCCAGCGCCGCAGCCTTCGACGCAGCCCCCTGCAATTTCGAACAAAAACGCTCTAACGTAGTTGAAAGCAGCGCCTCCACTTTACACAACTCCGGTGGCGCGGGCGTTTCAGCAGCGCTGCCGCATCCCGGCGCGATGGTGGCAGTGTTGTTGTTCCCGTGGGCCCCGCCAGGGCCCACAGCAACACTACAAAACGTGCGAGTCTTTGTGGGCTGGCTGTGTTGTGGTAGCGCCCCGCTTCGGGGGCATGCCGTGGATGTCGTGCCCTCTTCCCCGTGGGGCGCACAAATGGCACGAGCATTGCCGGTTCTGATTGCCTCGCCAATCGCCTCGGCACTCCGCGAAACGCACTCTTGCTCCCGCTGTATTGGGTGGCTGCCGTGCTCCTCGCCAGCCTCGTGGGGTTCCGACGCCGTCTGAGAAGTGTCCGCCTCACTCTGCGCGGCGCCGCCCGTAGACTGAATCGCCCCAGCATTAGGGGCCTGTGCCGCGGGGCGGGCCGCCGCTTCTTCTTCGCCACGAAGTACCAAAAAGACCAACTTATTCCCTGAAGTTTCCTCGTGCGGCTCGGTGGGCTTCATGTTTTTGGAACTTGGAAGAGCGCCTTCGCCCGTCCCGCGGCATGGTCCATGCTTCTCCGACACGGCCAAGGAGGAGAGCCACGACGACCCCTCGGCCCGACCCCGTCGGCCCCCCTCAGCCGGAAGATCATAGGGGCACCGCAACGCTGCGCACGCCAAACGAAATTGCAGGGGGTGGAGACCGCCCCACTTGTGCCGCCCCCCGCCCGCAGTGGCAAACATGGATCGTGGCAAACGCCCCTCTAGTAAACGCCCGGCCTTGCGTCGACGAGAAAGAAAACATGATGTAGAAAGAAAGGAAAATACAAGAACAAGCTGTTCCCAAAATAACGACATACAGAACCCAACGGGAGTACGCGCGTCGTGCGCAACCTGCCGCCGCTACGCCAAGAGAAACGTCAAGACCCTTTTCTTTCTTCTTTCACTCACCACATTTCTGTCCAGCCACACTTTTCCTCTCAGCGGCTCACACCCACCCCGTTCACCAGAACGCACTGGGAAGAGAAGTGGTAAAATAATAATTGACATATATAAAACGTGCGTGCGCGTGTAAATCGCAAAAAAAAAAACGCAATAGATGAGCCATATGCTGAAATAACTTTGGACAATGGTGGAGATCCAAATATGTGTGTGTAAGTGAAATAAAAAACAAAAAAAGGAATCTGTGGAGAACGTTCAGACTAACTGCAATGGGTGCAGTGAGGAGAATCAACGTTAGAGAGTCTCAGTAATGACTGCGCCACGCCAATGGCACAAAGAAAGAGTAGACACAATAAAGGACGAGTGAAATGGCGTGGGCTTTTATTGTGTGTGTTGCTTCTCTCTTGCTCGCTCGCTCCTTGTGTGCTGTGTGACATCCTATCGTTTTCTACAACCTCATAAGACCACGATACACAACGTCTTCTGGTCGACCAATCACCACGACAGTCTGCGGCGCCGAAGTACGGGCTGCGTCTGTCAGCGTGACCGCCAACGACCTAAACGTATTCTCAGAGCCCATAAACCCGGTCGACTCACGGCGCACGTCGCACGTCACGAGGCCCTCTCTGCCGTTTGCCGGGTTACGCAGGATAAACATCATCTGTAACTTCCTCGGCCTTAGTCCCAAAAGATCGGAGAGTTCATAGGAACCGCTACGGATGCGACGGATGAGCGGAAGACGAAACCCCCCACTTTGGCAGTAGGCTTTAAAGTCCCCCGTGCGCGGGTGCGAGCCGAGGTGCTGCACAACCCTCTCGTTTCGCATGACAAGTGCGATGGATTGATTGTACACCGCGTTGGGGTTGATCCTAAATCGGCGAATCACCGCCAGGGCCACGGTGTAAAGCACCGCACTGCACAAGAAGCCACTCATAAATCCTAAGCGGGCAACTGTTGCTAAGCTGAAGCGCGAAAGCATGACGTAGCCCTTGAAGAACACGCCCACAACCACAAGGATGGCGCATACGATGGCACCTGTTTTGGCATAAAATATCACGGCATCGGCGGAGAAACCAAAGATGGTGCCTGTGTAATGTGTTGTTTGCTTGTCGAAGAGAACGTCTTCTACCTTCACATGCTTTGCCTTGGGGCGCAGCATGCCAAAGAAACTGCGCTGCGCCGTGTAAAGGGAAGTGGGGCGGTGTGGTGCAACAACGACGGCAATGCGACCCAGCGCAGTGGAGTGAAGCGTCGCCTGCAAGAAAGCGGCGGAGTGGGTGATGCGTCGCAGCATTTCCTCCTCCTGTGGCTGCTGCGAAGGGCAAAATGCTTCTTGCTTATCCCCCGCTTTCCTTACTTCTACGTGCTTTGCTGCGCACTCCTCGTCTCTGACGGCCTCACTACTCCGTTACAAGAACTACTCGCAGTGACAAACACACACAGACACACACGCAAATTCAGAAAAGGCAAACACAAAAAGAAACAAAAGAAAAAGGTAGGGACCTCATAAAAAGCAAAACAAAAACAAAAATCAGCAACAGAGAACTGAATGCACGTGGTTTGCCATCCCGCCACACAGGCGGAGGGCCCTTACAGTTCCGTGCGAAGACACATACACATGTAAACCATAAAAAAAAAAAAAAAAAGAAGCAAATTGTTGTGATTGTTACTTGTATCAAAACATTTTTTGTGTGTTTCATCTTTTTATTATTCGCAAAGCAGGCCGACTTCAGAAAACACGCCACATGCATGCATGCATACCCCACCTTTCCCAGAGAGATATCGAGAGGGGAGGGGAAGGGACACATACAACGCACATCCCCTCATCACCCTTACCATTCTATTCTAATTTGTTTTCCTCTCCCTCCTCTCCCCCTCTTTCCTTCTTTGCTTTTTGTTCGCTACAGCTCCAGCGCATTGCTGTCCTTGCGTCTGTTGTACACCTCCAACGCAACGAAGTCGAAGGTTCATTAGCAGAATCCGGGTATGTTCAGATGTGGCGCGGCGCATGCGTGTAGGTGTTCAGAGGAGGTGCAGAGCGATACGCGGCCGTCATCCACAAGGCCCGCCATATCTCCCAAAGGAAACTCTTAATGCAATAATACAGCAGCGCTCCCACCCCCATAAGAGTGAGAGACCAGACACCGTCAGACAGACAGAGACTGAGATAACGTCCACCCCACAAGAAGGAAGGATGCGTATACTGCCGCAACTAACAATATGATGGGAGTGATGGCGTTGGGCGACGCCTACGCGCACACGCGCAAGCACTTGTGGGGCTCTGGCCCCTCGCCCCGTCTACAGTAGTTTTCCCAAAACAGCTGCAAACACAAACAAGGCCACAACGACTGCCAGTACTATCACCATACAACAAATTTTTCGTCGACTGCGTTTTTTATACTTGCGTGCCTTTCTCATCTCCTTTCGGCCAGCCTCAACAAATTGGGTTGTGCACTCAATGTTCTTCAGAATCACATCCATAATCTCCCCCTGCTCATGCACGAGAAATGCTAAATCGTTGAAGAGTTGGTTAAGGTAACGCATCGACTGCTCAATGTGATAGATATCATTCCTTGTCTCGATGACCTGAGCCAAGACGTCTTTACTCTGCTGAAAAATGCTATTTGTAAGGTTACTCTCCAGCACTGCCTGGGCAAGCTCCTTCGCCGTCTCATCGTCTATCGCTGTGCCATCGGGGTTGGTGTACTTGATCTTTATGTGCCGCTCGGTCCGTGTGCGGTATTGCGCCCCTACCAAATTCTGCTGTCGCTGGTACGCCTCCATCGCCTCGCTCAGCCTATGCAACATGTACCGCCGCTGGTTTTCCTCAATACGTATCACACCAACAAACTGACTCTCCATTTCAGGGGTCAACTTTAGTTTGTCTGTCTCCGCCTTCATCGCCCCGAGAGTTTGAGAGGCGGCCTGCGCTGAGGCATTGATTTGGTTTGTCAGCTCCTCCACATCTTGCCGCATGGAGTCACTCTTCACCACATCAACATTACTCAGGATCGCCGAATGCTTGGCGGCAATCTCCTGCGTCAGCGTCATGATGCGGTCGATGGCTCCATCTATGTCGCCCACTAACTTGTAGAACTCCTGCAACGCCTGCGCCGCTTCCACGCTCTGCTCCGACGGGGGCTCGGTGACGGTGACCTTCGCAAAGCCCAACGCGTCCGATCCTGGCACCGGCACGCCGCCAAGCAAGCTAAAGCCACACACCGCCTGAAACTGAGCGAGGCGGTTCATCGATGCGTGACGATCAAGAGGGGCTTGGAGGCCTTGAGTAAAAAGGTCACGGGTGATATGCGTAGCAAATAAAGCACTAAGGCGTTGTAGGGGCAGCAGCGTCCCCAGCTCCCTCTCTGCCTGAACTGGATGATGTGCGTGTGTATTTTCACCAGCCCACTTGAATACACCAGAGCAAAATTAAAAAGCAAGGAAAAGCGTGTGTGTGTGTGTGTGTGTGTGTGAAAGGATGCACACACGAGATTTAAATATCCAAACTGGAAAGCAGGAGGACCCTACCTTTCGTTCTTACTCGGCAAAATTGCCTGTAATCAATAAAGGAGGCAAACACGAAAAACTAGAACGTCATAAACGAAGAATCAGCCCTCCCTTCTGGTTCATCTCCTCCCGAAGAAGGACCCTTTCTTGCATGAGTTGGTTACTGACATCTCGCAATACACTTCCCATTTCATCACAACAGAGTGGCTGAATCTGCGTGGGGAAGATCCGCAGCTGCTCCCCCATTACCTCCTGAACTGTATGACTCGCTTCAAGAGATCCCGCAACACGCAGCAACTTCGCCTGACGCATAAGCAGCTTGAACTTGATGGTGTGCAACCAGAGCCATTCTTTTCTTAAAACCAAATCTTCTTCTGTCCCCTGGGGCAACACAACGTTCCGCCACCCCAAAAGGCGCTGCAAAACATCAAATGCACGCGCACACCATCGAGCAACTTGTATTTGACGCTGCTGAAGGATGTTTGCATTGTACCCACTCGCCGATGAAGCATCAAACGAGGAGGTGGAAGAAGGTTTTATCAGTAGAAGAGTGTGTGCTGCATTGGCTGCGGCCACCACCGCCTGGCGATGCAAAGCATACCACACATGTAGAAGTACATGGGAACGAGGAAAAAGCGCTCGTTCATGTGCTAGTAAGGAATTATTGTATAACTCGTTCTCTTCAAAATCAACGGTGGTACTTCTTTGCAAGTGGAGAAGAAGGTTCAGATATCGATTCGCCGGTGCGATATCTTGTCCTTCCTGCGACGCTGCGTCACGGAAAAAATATATGATCTCGTCTTCAATATCATCCGTTTCCGCGCCTTCCATGCGATCCTCCATGGAGGGCGGTGGCCGCAGTGCGTGACGATACGGGTACAGAATTCCTTTCTGGGCCAACGCCAGGGCACGGTGATAGCAATCCATGGCATCTTGGGGATGCAGCAGAGGCGCCTGGAGCACCTCCCCACCCGCTTCTCGCATTTGTTCCGCCGGCTTAAGATAGGAACCATACAAAATAGAAGCAAGTCGGTCTGCGGTAAATTCATCATGTATGCTCTGCCACACCACCGCTATTCGTTCAATGGTAAATAGAATACGGCATAATTTCTTTGATGCATAAAGGTTGCCCTTAGCAGGTGGCCGGCGCGGCATCGAGGATGCCTTCCAGTCACCTGAGCAGAGAATTAACGTCATGGCTGTTGGAATTAGCGCAGTGAACTGTGGGGAACCCACAGCTACGTGGTGAATACATTGTTGCAGAGACTGCGGTGACCAGTGAACAGAAGCCAACTCCGTATTAAGAGGCCCTTTTTTAATCAAAAAAAATGGGGCCATCGACCCATCGTTAGAACCACTGTCAACAAGGCTAGTGCCAAACTCGCCTGCTACGTCGCTGCCGTCCTCGTGTGTCTGCCGTTTTGCGTCACACAGCCGCTGAAGTGCCTGTCGCGTTAACAGGCGAGCAAGCCCATTGCGAAGCAGAACCCTGAACTCCTTCGACAACTGTCCCCCCAGTGGGGCGTAGAAACGAAGAGATGGACCCATCACACGCTCCAATTCCGTCACACCATCAAGCGTCACATCATCGGTCTCCAACGCTCCCAGCGGCTCCCGCCCATGGAGCAGCGACGCCTCAACCGTCGATAATATAGGGGGCGGCCATGCCACAAATGTTTTTGCGTTGCGAACAACAAACTCAACAGTGGGAAGATGCTCACGGAAAGGCCCCACCGCGCCATCGTTCAGGAGAACCTCTGCCGCGGCACTTACCCGCAGAAGTACCGCCATTCTTCTGGCCTCCTCGGCGTGGCCCACATAGTAGGAAGACATGAAAAAAGAAAAAGAGAAAACAAACGCCCACCCGGAAAGAGTAAAGGAAGAACCAGGAGGCATGGCGGAAGAGCACACAGAGAGTGATAAACATAAATCCCCACATCTCTCTGTGGGGACGCTCCCCTCGCTGCAGCCAGCCGTCCCAAAAGCAATTAGCCGCCCACATGTATGTGATGGCGGCATTCTTTCGTTCTTGTTTTTTTTTGTCGCTTCCGTACCTATTCTGCATGTCGCTCTTCTGCATTTGCCACAGGGGCTGTGAAAAATGTGTAAGATTGAGATGCAGGCGCTCCGCATAGTTTATTCCCCCGTATAAACCCTTGGAGCAGCTTCAGGCCACAGCCGCGACCATCGCAGGTAATGATAGATGATGTCTTTGAAACAAATAGTTGAGAACACCCAAATACACACAATAGA